CTGTTAATTGAATAATAAATCATACTAATGTCACACAGATATTTCAATATTTTCAACACGGTTTAGGAAGACATTTGAGAAACAGAGATGTATTAGAAAGAACTGTGTTCTGAGGTCAACAGCCTTAGTCATTATTAGGCAAGAGCTTTTAAGCTTCTAAGCAAGTCTTTCATATTCTCTATGCTCATTTCCTTATTCTTAAAATTTGATAATACTTTATCCTAAAAAGTGCTTTCTGTTTATTCCCCTAAGAACATTCAGCCTCATTCCAAGTGATTTTCATCAGGACAGCGGTTTTCATCAAATGTCCTTAGATTTGGAGGAGGGTAAGAGCTTTTTTCTCTCTCTCAGGGAAAAGCATGTCCCCAAAAGACATTCCACTATATACTCTGGCAAGTTACTTAACATGAAAAATTTCTCTATTTATTACACTTACCTGATGCGCAGAGCAGCGTGTTGAAAGTTTCCTCCTTGGCTATTCCTTCAGGCTTTATGTTGACAACAAAAACAAAAAAGTAAAGCGATGCTGAATGTACAGGAGAAAAAGTAAACACTTGAAAGCAAAGGAGAAAATGTTGGTGAAAAACTGGATTGCAGATCTGTCCACTTTCTTGGGAATGAAATGTTACTGTCAGATGCATATTAGATAATACCGTATGCAATAATAAGGCCTCTGAGACTCACAGAGAGAAAACTCACGTACCTCAACTAGTAAGGGCTTGACTACAGTGTCCTTTGGTGCGTGTTTTGGGACGTCAGTCACCTGATTGTCACACATTTCCTGAGAACGCACGGCTTCTGCGGTAGCTGTGAAATTCACCTTTCCTGGGGAATAAAGTTCTCAAGGAGTTAAACGGTGATTCTATATTGAACAGTTTCTTCTTTTTAAGTTTCCTCACTGTATCCAGTGGTTGGCTTCCTCTTGATTAGTATTAAAAGAGGAGAAAAAGCATGTATTGGGGTCAGTGCAGAAAACAAATCATCTCAGCACGTGAAGTGGAATTTGCTAATAGTGTTACTACTCACCCAGTGACTTTGGGGTCACAGTCCAGGACACGGTTTTCCGTCCGTTTCTACAGACACAGTGAGGTTCGTCATTCTTCTCTACTGGGATGGCCAGGAAAGCGGAAGAGACCTCCAGCTGCACAGTGACCTGTCCCCCACACCCAACCACGAGTTTGTGAAGAGACACAGAACAGGGCGAACACTGGGGAAGACGCTGGGAGGGACAATGTCTGTCAGTCCAAAGGTGCTGAGAAGCTGTGCAAACATGGTCAGCTCTACCAGACACCTTGTCGTTTAGGGTTTGAAATAAGAAAACTGAAAAACTGACAAGAATTAGGATACGTGTTTAGGGTTTAGCCCTGTGCCAACGGAAGAAAGAGATGTTTTCTTTGGTCAGAGTGAAAAACGTGAAGCAATCAGGTGGACATAATGTGTGAATTTAGGAATACACAGATATAGGAGCCTGAATGAATATAACCTTACCACCTTGGACCTGTCAGGTACCTTTGCTCTTAGTATCAGGTCTGTTCCAAATTTAGGATATGTCATAGGCAGTTCTGATTTCCTGGGTTACCTAGGAGACCTGGTAATGAAAGGTGACCATCTTCTATTCTTATTCACTTCCAGAGAAGTGCCCTTACCCGAATGCAAAAGGCCAAGTAGTTAAACACAGTGGCTTTGAGTGTGAAGGCTTCTCCTCGCACCACAGAATACGGGAGGGTGAGTTCTAGGAAGAACGGCTGGAAGGCTCGAAGAGACACAGTAGGAGAGAGGCCAAGCCCTGCGGTTCCAGACAAGCAGAATGCGCTGGCCTTCCACTCCGTGATGGTGTCAGGGACTTGCATCGCCAGCTCACTGCTACCTGATGAGCTAGTGAAGGGGCAGAGAGGAGGACCGTGAGCAAGTCTTTTTTTTTTTTTTTTTTTTTAACACAAACTATGGCTGATCCTGGAACATGATAACGCAGTAACTAGTTTGGTAAATGCGAAACCTGATCTAAGCGTTGGTGCTCCTAGTGAGGTCTTTAAGTGTTTCCTTTCCTCCCTTCCTTCCTCCCTCCCTCACTTTCTTCCTTTCTTCCTTCTTACATTCTTGCCTTCCTTTTGTTCTTTCTTTCAATCTCCCTCCCCTCCCCTTCCCTTTCCTTTATTTAAGAGGGATGGTAGCATCTTATTTCTACTATTTTAGTTATCTGTAGACCAAATTAGGAAAAATATTATCACTGTTTATTATGAGATAAACGAACTGTACACCTCAATATTTACCAGGAAAGAGCAGAGCAGAGCTAAAAGGATCAGGAATCAAGGATACCGTCAGCCATACACAAGGATTCAAACCCTCTCCTAAACTAAATTCCAGGCAACACACAACTTACTCAACTACCACCAAATTCCAGATCCAGGTCTCAGGGAAGTACTTCCGGACGATCTCTCCCACTTGCCATCTCTGAGGTTCGTCATAGAACATCTGGGACATAATTTCTGGTTCTGATCCAGGAAGACAACACACAGGCTCCAGTGTGAACCTCATTTTTATCATCAGTTTCTTATAGCTGCCTTATTTCTCAAGTGGAACAAGGTCATATGCTTGGGGAATGTTTATTATCGGAACAATTTAACCTTCAAGCTTGTTATTTTGTTAACTCTCCTATAGAAAGGCTAATCCTATTTTTTCTTCAAATAGAATCTAGAGCTAAATATATTGTTCTTTATAAATAAAAGTAAATGAACTGTACACATACCTCCTGAATCTAAAATAAAAGCTGATTAAAAGAAGCAAATGTAGCTCTGTCTAAGATGGTTATTCAACTGGTGAAGGGGAGAATAAAGAGTAATTTAATACACCAAATATTGCTCTTACACTGAAATTATGGTCACATCTCTTCCATTTGCAGTGAGAATAAAACAAGAGGAATGGATATTTGCTGATCAAGATGATTTCAGGAATGATTTTTTGTTTGTTTCAACATTGAATGAATATGGAGACATAAACAATAAGCAAGAGGATAAGGTAAAGTATGTGGTTTAGACAATGGGAGTCAAGAATGAAAAGACAATCCGCTTTAGATAGGCTGGAAGAGACTTCGCCAAAGCAGAGCCTAAGGTGATCACTGATGCATGGGAAGCAGAGGTGAATGGGAAGGCAGTCCCAGGAAAGGACCACACAAAAATATACACAAAGGTGGAAGGGAGATTCATGGGGGTAATAAAAATTTATTCTCTAGGATTTTTTTCTGGTAAGGAAATATCTTTAATGACTCCTTTGTTTTCAACTAGAACATTACTCCTTGCCTTCCCAGCCAATGAATCTGCTGTATTAAAATGTGTTTACTTTTTTTTTTTTTTTTTAAATTACAGAACTTCCATGCTAATTATAAACTTTTATCTTTAAAAGTGGTGCTACCTTTTAATCATTTGCTGTAGTTGTTTTTTGTTTTTACTTTTTTTTTTTTTTTAACACTTTTTACTTCCATCCTCATTTTTTATTAAAAAGTAAATTTAGCAGACATTCATGCATTCAGAGAAAACTTTCTCTAGGCCTGATGACGGTAGGAAAGAATTTTGAAAGTCAGGCCCTTTTCAACTTTTCCTCATTTCCAGGTATACTTGAAACACACTAAGAGACTATGCAGTAGTAGAATATCTGCCAAAAGTTGAATTACTCTCTTTTGTTCAATATTACAAAAATCACTTCAATTTCCAGAAGAAGATATGAGAAAGACCGTTACTATCCACATGGGCCTTCCCATTTCTCAGCCTGCTTTGCATTTAAAGCAGGAACATGGGCAGAAGTGATGTATACCGTTCCTGCTCCTGGCTGTAAGAGTCACATGCAACCTCCTTCCCAATGGGTCTGACCCTGAAAGTCACATTGGTGATGGCAGAGTCACCAGAGGAAAGCAACTGATTCTCTCTGATTCACTGTTTGCCAGGGAGCTGTTCTGAAGAGTGTCTGAACTTACAAGCAGATTTTCTATGAGCAAAAATCAAACTATTATATGCTTACCCACTGAGATGTAGGAGTTTGTCTGTTACTGCCATTTAATCTAATTCTGACTAATTCAGGTATTGAATCCACCATAGATAAGGAAGATGTAAAATGCCAAGACTATTAAAGGCAAAAACAAAAAGGTAGTTGATATTGACGTCAAAGAGAAAATAACAGTAATTGCTTAAAATCCTATATTTGAGAAAAAAATATTATTTGAGGTTAACTTACGAAGAAATTGCTGCAGTCTCAAGATGCAATACTTAGAAAAATAGCGAGCCTGGTCGGGTGCTGGACAGCAATGCATCCCTTTTTTCTTCAGCCGGGGAACTACAATTCCCAAGAGCCCACTCGGCGCAGCGACACCGCCTCCCGCCGTGGCACTGCCGCTTCCCCTCCCTCAGTCCCCGCCTTCCGGCTAGTCCCCTCCCCTCCCTGAGAGTGTGTGTCAGTGACCCAGAGGCGGTGTGCGGCGGACAGACCGTCAGGGGGCGTCGCCGCCACGGCCTCCAGCAGCAGCAGCAGCAGCGCCAGCCGAGCGAGCGGCGCTGTGGAGCTGGTCCCCAGCCCTCGGGGAGCGCGCCACAAAGTAGCCCTCACACCTCTCCCTGCATCTGCGGCTCCTCAGCGCTCGGTCTGCGGTCAACTTCCCCTCCCTGGGCTCGGCCGGCAGACGCGGAGGGCAGCAGCGGAACCGCGGGCTGTCTGCTCGCGCTCCCCGCGCACAGCACTTCACCCTTTCGCCTTGGGTCTCGGAGCCGCGCTGGGATCCCGGCCACCAGCTATTGTCCGGAAATAATGCAAAGGTGTCCCAAAGCTCCTGACCAGTGAACAAAGATTTGAGAAAGACAGCCAAGCTCAAGAAAATCATCCATCTAAAGCACCAGTAAAATATGGGGAACTCATTGTCTAGGGTATAATGGGTCTCTCCCCAATGGCGATAGAGGAAGGAGGAAAAGTAGGTTTGCTTTGTTTTCACCTAAGGCAAATGGGGTGAAGCCCAGCACCGTGCATATTGCTTGTGCTCCTCAGGCTGCAAAGGCAATAAGCAACAAGGACCAGCATAGCATATCGTATACTTTATCTCGGGCCCAGACTGTGGTGGTTGAATATACTCATGACAGCAACACTGATATGTTTCAGATTGGCTGGTCAACTGAAAGCCCCATTGATTTTCTAGTAACTGACACAGTTCCTGGAAGTCAAAGTAATTCTGATACACAGTACAAAGCACTATATCACGATTTGCCTGTAGAATAATATGTGAACGGAATCCTCCCTTTACAGCACGGATTTATGCTGCAGGATTTGACTCATCAAAAAACATCTTTCTTGGGGAAAAGGCTGCCAAATGGAAGACATCAGATGGGCAGATGGATGGCTTAACCACTAACGGCGTTCTTGTAATGCATCCACGCAATGGGTTCACAGAAGACTCCAAGCCTGGAATATGGAGAGAAATAGCAGTGTGTGGAAATGTATTTAGCCTGCGTGAAACCAGATCAGCTCAGCAGAGAGGAAAAATGGTGGAAATTGAAACCAATCAGTTACAAGATGGCTCGTTAATCGACCTCTGTGGTGCAGCATTGCTATGGCGTGCTGCAGAAGGCCTTTCCCACACTCTTACAGTGAAGCATTTAGAAGCTTTAAGACAGGAAATCAATGCAGCACGACCTCAGTGCCCTGTAGGGTTCAAAACACTAGCATTTCCTAGTATGAACAGGAAAGATACTGTAGATGAAAAACAACCATGGGTATATCTAAACTGTGGCCATGTACATGGCTATCATAACTGGGGAAAGAAAGAAGAACGTGACGGAAAAGATCGTGAATGTCCTATGTGTGGGTCTGTCGGTCCCTATGTTCCTCTGTGGCTTGGATGTGAAGCTGGATTTTATGTGGACGCCGGCCCTCCAACCCATGCGTTTAGCCCGTGTGGGCATGTGCGTTCAGAAAAGACAACTGCCTATTGGTCCCAGATCCCTCTTCCTCATGGTACTCATACTTTTCATGCAACCTGTCCATTTTGTGCACATCAGTTGGCTGGTGAACAAGGCTACATCAGACTTATTTTTCAAGGACCTCTAGACTAACAGACCATTGTCCTCCAAGACTACATTATAAATTTATAAGCTAAGTGAGTTGGGTTTTCAAACTTGTCCACATCACAGTTTTTCTGCTCTGGTCATTTGCATTAAGATGAAGATTTTTAAAAAACATTTATAATAAATAGTAGCAATTTCTAAGCAAAAATCTGGGAAACTCAAGCAAAGGAATTTCTGAAAGCAATAGTCTTCTGAATTCTGAGTTTTGAAAATATATTTTGAGGAGAAAAAGACATAGTCTAATTTGATGCCTTCCTTTTAGTGTTTTTGAATCACCCATCCTCAGTGCTGAAATTGTTCTGTGTAACAGAGTACTGTTGGTTCAAACTACGTTAGTTTACAGTATGTTGCAAACATTGTAAAATACAGCAACATGTATATTAACTTTTTTCTATTTATCTTTATTATAGAAAATACCTTAGAATGTTCTTGACAGAGTAGCATGGTAACGATGGTAGCACACCCTTGGTGTGAATGGTAGCTTAGTGAGCACCTAGCTTTAGGATTTGCAGTTAGGAAGAAGGACCAGAGAGCCTCTCTCCCCACTCCAGTCTAAATAATTTGGTAAATTAGAATACTTTGTAATTTGTAAGACCAAATTCATATTAATTACCATTGTGTGAAAGGTGTTTGTTTTTAACCACATTGAAGATAACCAGGAAAGACTTTTTCTTAATGTTTCTCTCAAGCGTAGTACTATAACAAAAACTTAATGCTAAGAAACATTTTATATGCTCCTTTGAAGAGGCAGTTTAATCTAGATTATCTATTTTTCTCCCATGATAACTAATCTGTTTGTAGTATCAGCAGCATTTGGCAAGTTTATTTTTTGGATGTAAACTGTGGTTCATCTGTTCACTGTTTCTAGAAAAAAGTCCTTCCCATAAGAAAAAGTATAAATTAGCAAGAAAGGAGAGTGACATGATTTGCTTTTAGAAAAAGAAATGCTTAGGTAATTTTTCTGTATTTCGCTTTATCCAGGCATTAGGAAATCTAGAGATCTAAAGGGTTGAATGACAAGAGTGCCCCCTTTTCACAGACCAGCCTTAACTCTGGGTTTGAATTCTAAGGGATCGCCACAGTGAGATTCAAGTAAATGTTTGCTTGGCAGATGCAGCTGAGCACCAATGACTGCAGTGTGGAGTGACCACTGCATGGTCCTTTTGTTCTCTAATTCCAGTATGTCCTTTGCTTCTGGAAGAAAAACAAGTTTCTTCTCTCCCCTCCTTCCCACCCTTTTTTCAAAGGCACCACAAGCATAAACAGTTGCACCACATCACATAATTTTTTGACACATGTAGAAACCAGTACACTTTTAGATTAGACAGTCTTTTTAAATATTTTGATTTGTTTTCCTTTAGTTTGAAAAGTTGTATAATACTTAATTGACGGTAGCAAAGTTTTATATATGGTAGCATAGCTTTACTTTATCCTATTATAACACTGTTCTGAATTTTCTTTTGGTTTTTTAAAAAAAACAAAACTTGTTGCTTAGAAGCCATGACCTATTTTATTTTACTTCAACTGTTGAAATTTCCTTGTTTTTAAAAATGATCATTTGGGTTCACTCAGGAAATGCATGTCAGGAAACTTGTATTATAAGTTTATTTGTTGTGATGTATCAGTAACTGCTGTTACCCCTTTTTCAAAGAAATGTAATTGATTTTAAAGTTTTCTAGATTGTCACATGCTTTGTGACTAATGCAAGAAATCAAGTCCTGTGTTGTATTTGTTCTAGTCATTTCTATTCAGGCTATATATTGTAGCTCGATTTTATTTGCAATTAATTTATTTAAACTAAGTAAATACTTTTCAAAATAGAAAAAAAAAAAGAAAAATAACTTTTTATCTTAAACCAACCCAGTAAAGCACCATTTTTCTTCTATTCTGTCAGACAAATAAATTGCACCCTTACCTCTTCTTGAGCCGACTTGATATTCTTGATGTGGACACAAATGTGACTTACGGATTTTTGAGTTGGTGAAAATATCTAATCCTACACACTGAAAAAAAAAATTGTTAAGCATAGTGGCAATCCACTCTTGAGACTAAATAATTGATTGACTTTGTACTGTACTTTCACTATTTTATATATAGTTCATAGGCACATCATGAAAATTACACATAATGAGGAGAGCTATTTATAAATTTGAGAATTACACATAATGAGGAGAACTTTTTATAAAAAGTCATAGAGGGTCAAGTTCATTCAGCTAGTATGTGAATAGGATTTGGAATTCAAACCCATTTCTGATTCTTATTGCTAAATATTGTCTGGTATACTCTAATACTCCTTAATTACTTTTTTTGCCTTCATAAAACTGAGTATCTTAGACTTAGATGTTTCCTTCTCTTTTTTTCTCCATGAAACAGGTGTCCGTGTCTATGTATGCATACACAGAGCTCTCCTTATGGCTTTCTTACAAGAGAGCATTTTTTGCTTGTTTCTTGTTATTTTAAATTGAAGGGTTGCATATTGGAGGTCGCTCTTTACAGTCTTAGTAAACTCTGTTTTGTTTATGTTTTATCAATCAGAAGATAGGCTTTTCCAGAATGTCTACACTCCACTCATTCCTGTGGACCTTTCCTCTTTTTTCTCAGTTTCTTTTAATTGTCTCAGATGTCTGCGTCTAAAACCCCCATCCAGATGCCCCCAGTTGTCTAGAGTCCACCTGTTTCCATCTTCCCTCTTCTTCAGTATTAGTCACAGGTAAATATTATTTGCTATTTTATCTCAGAGTATTTGGGAAACTGTGGGACTCTTGAGCATAGTTGTCAGTGGGGGTTGTGATACACAACAGAAAGAAATAAACCAGAAATAAATGTTCAAAGATGAAACAGCTAGTTAATAAACTAAGAAGTGTTTTTTCCGTCCTTCTACCACCGCATTTACGTTTCTGGAAGGTCCAGAAGAGAGAGATTTAAATTGCCTTCAGCTAAGCTGTAGACCTTTATCAGATGAATGATTTATCTTCCTGAACGGATGATAAAAGTTCTTAGTGCTGTTTGATAGTGATACGATTTAATTTCACAACCTGGATAATTCTCCTCAGTTATAGTTAATACTAAAGAATTACATTTTTAAGACATTCTAACATTTCTAATACAAGTTTTGTTAATCTTTTTTTAATGAAAGACAACTTTAAGTTTTCCTGGAATTTTACTGCCCTGTGAGGCAAAGTTTTGCACTTTATGTATTCAATCCTGAATTCGTTCAACAAGTGTTTTTTGTGCAAATGCGGAAATGATGGTCACCAACATGGTGCTTGCCTTTCTAAGGGTGTCAGATACATTGTGGAAAATATTTTGTTTTGGTTTTCTCACATATTGGAATCCCCAAGTCACTGAGAGGGCAATATGATGGTAGTAAGTAGCTTTGGGATCCATTTGGTTAAGGTTTGCAGCCTAAAAGTAAACCACTTGCTGTTTAAAGTGGTAGAGAAATTCATGTGTGCACATCTGTGTCCACAAAGTTCTCTGTCTCTGAGATTTCCATATTGTTCTGTTACTTATCGCTTTGATGGAGGGAGGAAATTAAAAATCCTAGAGCTTAGAACCCGTTGTTTCTCCACCTTAACAGAGGCGTAGAGATCCACTTTTGTTATGTTTTTAGGAAAAGGAATTACCATGAAGATACTGTAAAGTTCATACCAATCCAGGACCCGCTCTGTTACGTAAAGTGTTCCCTCATGAGTTATGCCTTTTGCATTGAGACAATCTTCACCATAGTCAACGCCAGGACTTCTAACTCTAAAGGTATGTGAAGAACTCTTTATTGGTAGCAAATTATAGACCTGCAACATTGAGAGAACAAAGAAAATCTTTTTCTTTTGAACAAATTTTTAAATGTGATAATCAAACACTGCATGTTCTCACTCATAGGTGGGTGTTAATAATGAGAACACATGGACACAGGGAGGGGAGCATCACACACTGGGGTCTGTTGGGTGGGGGTTAAGGGAGGGACAGCAGGGCGTGAGGAGGTTGGGGAGGGATACCATGGGAAGAAGAAATGCCAGATATAGGTGACAGGGGGATGGAGGCAGCAAACCACATTGCCGTGTGTGTACCTATGTAACAATCCTGCATGATCTGCCTATGTACCCCAGAATCTAAAGTACAATTTTAAAAAATTTTTAAAAATTTAAAATGCCTGCTTAACTTGAAAAAAAAAAAGTGATAATGTCCCAGAGGGGATTTAAAAGATTATGGTGTTTATTTAACACTCCCATGCTTACATGATGAAAAGCAACACAGACACTCATGGAGTGATATCAAAGGTCATGGATCCTAATTCTTTTTGTTGTGCAAAAGAAAGTAATATCTAGAGAGCTGAAATGAATCAGTCAATATCTCAAAATTCATTTTGGTTGAGTAAAAATAAAACTGTCTCTATTTCCCAGAAAAAAATGCCTACTTTTAAAAGAACATAGAAAATGTGGACATCACAGAGACATGTAATGAAACAATAAAAGCCACTCACAGCCCCCCACCTAAAACAATCCCTGTAAATACTTGTTTCACTTCCTTTTTCCATTTCATGTCGCTAAGGCTGTACCAAGTTTTCTTTTTAGTCTACTATGTTAGGACCAAGTTTAGCTTAAGAAAAATTGAGGTGCAGAGACAATGGAGAAATAATTCAATTCCATTTTGCTCTTGCCCAGAGCCTTGTGTAAGGCCACCTGCTCAGGTATACAGTGTTCAGGCCATTGAACACACGTGCAGACCTTCTGATCTGGCTTCTGCCACCTGTCATCTGTGCTACTGTAGTAACAACTTCTCAGCTGTTCTTGTGCTTTCATTCTTGCTCACGTACTTTCAGCAGCAAACATGATCTTTTCAATGGATTCGTCTCAATTGTCCACTCTCCTGCATACATTTCCTCATTGATTCGCCATTGCACTTACTATCAACTCCAAATTCCACACCACGTAAACAGAGCTTGCCATGACCTTCCCCGTTTTCCATCCTACCTGCAGCCTCTAGCATCCTCCCCTCTCACTGCTACGTATTAGGTGGTTACCTTTTCCTTTTCAGTACACTCCAAATTCACTCTGACTCAAAACCTTTGGCATGCTGCTTCCATTTATTGGTTAGTCTGCTTTGGAATCTCCACTATTCTCCAATGTAAAAATTTTTAAATTGCTCAACTCAACTATTTCAAAAATTTCTTACCACCTTTATTATTGATATCAATACTCTGTTTATTCTTTTTATAGTATTTATAAAAATCTGGAATTTTTACGTTTCCTTAGTAATCCTGCTCTCAAAATAATGTCCATCTCATAGTCAAGATGCAATAAGTATTTCTTAAGTAAATAAGTGAACCATGAAGCCCGTAAAATATACAGCTGTTCTGAAAGTGCTTCATTGCAAGAGACATTTTTAAAGACAAGATTGGAAATTCTCTTTTGTCCACACTTAAAACCAGTGAGTCAGTGCCTGGATTTTCAGAAAAGCATAAAATTTTTGCATAATTACTTGAAGTTATATTAGTGGTGGGTTGGGAAGTGGACTTAAAAGAAAAGAAATTAGAATCAAATTCCTCCTTTAAAATGTATTGCTTTTATCATCAATATCTTATAGCTGCCTTATTTCTCAAGTGGAATAAGGTCACATGCTCAGGGAATGTTTATTATTGGAACAATTTAACCCAGCTTGTTATTTTGTTCACTTTTCTGTGGAATGGCTAACCTTATTTTTAACATATTGTAGTTGTGTTTTCTTCATTCATAATATTAAAGTAGTAATACCCATTTAAAATAATTATTATTCATTTACTCATTAAAAATGTGTTGATAATCTGATGCACATAAGAT